CTGAGACACCCAGGTGCCCCAAACTTGCTTAGTATTATATTTGTGTCAAAATATTTCTCCTCAAAATATGTAGATGCTTCTTTATTTCTCGCAGAGCATTTAGAGTTGGAAAAAAACTCTGATGTCAATCCTTTTACTAGTACTTTGTTTTTCTAGTTGGCTGTTTGCCATCCAGCTATCTTTGGATGTTCCTGACTGAGCATCCAAAGCTATTGCAGAAAGCCGTATCAGAAGAGGGGTGCTTGAGATTGCCTCCGAGACCCTCTGTTCTCTTTTTGTGTTTGTTTTTGGTTAGCCCCATGACGTTTTCACCGTGGGTCTGTTCAAAACTCTTCTGTTTTACTTCTTTACTTTTATTTCCATTCCTGCCCCCTTTTTCCTCTTCCCCCAGAGATAACTATCCTAATATGTGTAATGTGTATCTTTTTTTAAAAATGTGTTTTGTAAAACGTGTAGTTTTGTGTGCATATATTTTGAATTTTCATAAGTGGTATGGCATGCCCCCTATCTGTTGGGGATAATTTCTTTGGGATATATACATACTCAGGAGCAGAACTGCTGTGTTGTGAGTCGTGTACACTTTGGCTGATTTGCTCTAGATGGCGGCCTGTCTACATGCCCTCTGTTAGTGCCTAAGGCTATAGTCCCAGAGCTCTACCAACACACAGCATTATCTACCATTTAAACTATGTCCATCAGGGGGGCGCCTGGGTGGCGCAGTCGGTTAAGCGTCCGACTTCAGCCAGGTCACGATCTCGCGGTCCGTGAGTTCGAGCCCCGCGTCAGGCTCTGGGCTGATGGCTCAGAGCCTGGAGCCTGTTTCCGATTCTGTGTCTCCCTCTCTCTCTGCCCCTCCCCCGTTCATGCTCTGTCTCTCTCTGTCCCAAAAATAAACTATGTCCATCAGATAGATGTCAAGTGCTATTTCATTTTTGTTTTAATTTTCATTCTTTTGATTACCAAAAGATTGATCACTTTTTCATATGCTTGCTAGCCTTTGGGTTTCTGATTTTGTAAGTTGCCTGTTTATATCCTTTATCTTTTATTACGGTTCCTATCTTTTTCTTGTTAATTTGCAAGAATTCTTTGTATACTCTAGATATCAGTCTTTTCTTGATTTTAAGCGTCATCAATATCTTATCCCAACTGGAAATGTGCTTGTTACTTTATTGAGGGTATTCTTCATTGAACGGATAATCTTATTTTTGATATAATCAAATCCATCAGTTTTTTGTTATTGAAGATTTGAGCTTTTAAGAAGTCCTACCTTGCTTCTATTAACTTATATTTTTTCCTCTTCCAATTAGGTCTTTAATTTTGGAGTCTACTTCAGTTTGCTGTTTGTTAGATGTGCACCTCGTCTTCCTTTTCTTCATCAGTAGCTAGTCTCCCTGACATCATCCACTGAACAATTCCTCCTTTACCTACTGGTTAGTGTGTCCAGTTCCCACGTGTACATAGGTCTCTATGAAATCTCTGTTCTGATCCGTTGGTATAGTGATTTGGTCTTGTGTCAAAACCATATTTTAAAAATTTGTTTAGAGAGAGATTGAGAGAGCACGTGAGTGGGGGAGAGGGACAGAGGGAGAGAGAGAAAGAGAATCTTAAGCAGGCTCCAGGCTTAGCTCGGGGCCTGATGCGGGTTCCATCCCACAACCCTTGGATCATGACCTTAGCCAAAATCAAGAGTCAGACATTCATGTGACTGAGCCACCCAGGTACCCCAAAACCACATTTTTTATCACTATGTCTCAACCTCTAGTGGGGTCAGTCTCTCCTCTTTTTTTTTTTTAAGATTGACTTAGCTACTTTTATACGTTTACTTTTTCCATATAAATGTTAGAATAAGTTTATCAAGATCCTCAAAAAGTCCAACTAGAATTTTGATTGAAATTGTATTGGATTAATAGATTAACTTGGGGATAATTGACATGTTCATAATATATTTATCCTTTCCAAAATCATAAATGTCTCTCCATTTATTCAGACCAACTTTTTTTTTTGTCCTACAGTTTTAATTTTCTTCATAGAGGTCTTTTCTATGCCTGGAAAAGTTTATCTAGATGCTTTATGGCTTTGATGCTATTATGAGTGGCATCTCATTTTTATTGAATTTTCCAATTTCACTCATATTGTGAGAAATGCTATTGAACTTGTATATAGCAACTTTAGTAAATGCTTCTATTAGTTCTAATTGTGTGTCTTTCTAAGTAGATGATCTTGTCATCTGAGAATTATGAGTTTTACATCTTTCCTATCAAATTTTACACTTTATTTATGTATTCATGTATTTAATTGAATCTATATTACATATAATATTGTGTAAATTTCATGTGTACATTAGTTTGATACATTTATATATTGTAATATGTCTTTGTAATTGTATTTATCACATTACATAATTATAGCATAATATTATTGTCTATTTTATGCATTAGATCACTATGGCTTATGTACTACTAGTTGCAAGTTTGTACCCTTAAATAATATAAAGCTTATCTCCCCCCCAACATTTCCTGGCAACTACCATTTCCCTCCATTTTTTACAAGTTTGACTTTTTAAATTTTTTTTATTTTTTATTTTTATTTTTATTCATTTTTTTAAGTTCTTTATTTTGAGAGAGAGAGAGAGAACATGAGCAAGATGGGGCAAAGAGAGAGAGAGAGAGGGAGAGAGAGAATCCCAGGCAGGCTCCATGCCTCGCATGGAGCCCAACCCGGTGCTCGATCTCACAAACCATGAGATCATGACCTGAGCCAAAACCAAGAGTCAGGCACTTAACTGACTGATTCACCCAGGTGCCCCTAAGTCTTTTTTTTAGAATCCACATAAAAGTTATATCATACAAGCTTCTAATGTCAAACTGTCCTTCCATTCCTGGTATTAAGCTTCCTTGGTAATGATTTTCTTAATACATTGTTGAATTTGAGCAATTAGTACTTTATTTTGGATTTTTTCATCTACTTTCATAAGTGAGTGGGCCTATCATCTTTTCTTTTTGCATGGTCTTCATGTAGTTTTGAAACCAGTGTTAAAAGAACAATCCAATTGGTGCTGTTCATTTTGGGGGACAACTTATTTAAAGTAAGAATTATCTGCTTATTGAGAGTTTATTAGAACTCACAATTAAAGCCATCTAAACCTGGACTTTATTTTTCTGAGAGTTTCAAGTATCTTGTCTAGTTTTGACATTTTCTATTTTTCTAGAAATTCATCCATTTCTGGTTTGTCAAGTTTCTTAGTATATAGTTCAAAATACATTTAAAAAAATTATTTGAGAGAGAGTGAGAGAACAGGGGAGGGGGAGAGAGAGAGGGAGAGAGAGAATCCCAAGCAGGCTCTGCACTGTCAGCACAGACCCCCACACAGGGCTTGAACTCATGAACCATGAGATCATGACCTGAGCCAAAATCAAGAGTTGGATGCCAGGTGCCCCAGGTTCAAAACACATTTTTATATATTTAAATCTCTGGCCTAACTTTGGTTCTATTTGTATCTTTTCTCTTTTTCTGGATCAATCTTGCCAGAGATTTATTTATAAATATATTTTTAAAAAACAGGTTTTTGGTTTTGTTCATCTTGTCAATTCCCCCCTGCCTTGATTTCATTGATTTCTACCTCTATTTTTAGTATTTCCTTTTTTGTTCTTCAGAGGACCCAGGGATTTGCCTAGACAAATTAACCAGAGGCAGAGCCAGATGAGGGGCCAGCCCCTTGGTCTTAGATCAAGGCTCACTTCCCATGGCCTGAGGCCTCCTGTCAGGAGCCCAGAACAGCTGGGAGAATCAGCTGCCACAGCCGGGCCCCAGCCTGGGCACAGACCTGGGATGTATCATACAGAAGCCTCATGTGTCTAGTCAGAACTGAGACATGCAATAAGTGTAAAATTTACACCCAATTTCAAAGACCTGGTACAAAAAAATGCAAAATATCTCAACCATTTTTATATTGATTACATTGAAATGGTACTTTTGGGGATATGTTGGATTAAACAAAATATGTTGGATTAAACAAAGTTAATTGCACCTATTTCTTATTTTAATCTGGAGAGTGGGAATTTTTGTAAGAAGTAGTAATAGCACAGGTAGTACAAGAATATGTCAAGCACGATGTGTGACTGTTTTGAGACTGACTGAGGTTTGGTAAACACAATTAGCTTAACCTGTTTTGTTTTGTGGGAATGGAAACAGGCTCAAATTAAGGAAGGGGTTTATCCAGGGAGCATGAGTTCAGTTTTTTCTGTTGCAAATGGCAGAAAAACAATTCTGACAACATGTCCAAAAAAGAAAAAGAAAAAGAAAAAAGAGAAAGAAAAAAAAAGTTATCAGAGGTTTGCTGAGGACTGACCAATCTGGCCTAGGAATGGTGATGGAGAAAGAGGAGAGCCCAGCTTTCAGTAGCAGGAGCTGGCGACTACCTTTCTCTGGCACTTTTTCCTATTCTCAGCTCTGTGTCTCAGGTCTCCAGAAGAGAGGCTGATAGGCCCAGGCTTTGTGGGGAGACAGGAGCCTGTGATAGGCTATTACATGGCATCAATGGTGAGAGGTGGGACAATTTGCTAAGAAACCCGGGTGACCTAGTGCGTTGGGCAGCAGAAGCTGGATGGGGATGCTGGGCAGGCAAAAATGAAAAATGTCCCTTACAACCTGCCAGCGACTCAATCCTCCTTACTCCCAGGTCAGTGCTCCTCTCCACACATGATGAGTCTCAATAAATATTTGAGTGTCACCCACTTCAATGGTTTCTGCCTCTCCAGACCCTACCTGCCCTGAGGCAGTCTTGGTCCAGTAACTCTGCGCCAGAGGAGAGCTGGGTTAGGGTAGTAAGGGAGGTCAAACTGGGGTGGGGTATCCATCCATGCTCTCTGCTTTGTTTCCAGGGGTCTTCAGGGCTTTGCTCAAGGGCCAGAACCTAGGAGGCCAGGTGGGCAGCTTGGGAACAAAATCCTTGGGCCTAAGGATTTCATTGTCAGAAACGTATCCCAACCGTGAACAGGGGCATGGACCACAATGACGGGGTCATCCAAGCTCCAGCTGGCACCGTGGTGCCTCAGGAACTGCTGGAAGAAATGCTTTGGTTTTTTCGAGTAGAAGATGGTAAGTGGTGGGGGACTGGTCGGGGGTGGGGGTCTGTCCTCAACACAGAGTGGAATCTGGCTGAAGCCCCCTGACACAGCCTCATCCTTCAGGCTGCACATGTCCTCCAAGGTGGGGACCGAGGCTGAGGGGTCTTAATTCCCCAAGGGGTCTGGCCTACCCGCACCCTCCTCTCCTTGGGGTGTGGTCATTCATTCACTCATTTATTCAATCGTTGACAAGTATTTATTAAGTTCCTTCTGTGCAGCAAGCACTGTTCTCAGCACTGAGGTTACAGCAGCGAATAAAGCACAAATGTCCATGCCCTCATGGAGCATACATTCTAATGAAAGAGAAAAGAAACCAGACACACAAGTAAAATGCATAGTATGTTGGTGATGAGTAATAAGGAGAAAAACTAAGCACAGAAAGGGAATAGAAGTGTAGGTACTATGGTCAAGGAAGGCCTCACTAAGATGCTCTTGTTTGCATAAAGGCTTATAGGAGATGAAATGATTAGCCACGCAGATTATGTGTGGGAAGAACATTCCTGGCAGGGGAACAGCTAATGCAATAGCTTTGAGGCTGGACTCTGCCTCACTTTGGCACTGTGTGGACAGATCTTATTATCCAAATTCAGATTAGCCACTTCAGGTGTTCTCTTTCGGCAGTTGTGGAACAGTTTTACAGCCATCCCTTCCTTCTCACCCCCAGCCTCCTTTCCTTCCTTCCTTTCCTCGCACTGCACAGGGCTGGCCTCTGGCACAACTCTGAAGAGTGTGAAGTTTATGTCCACCCACACCCCGCTTTCCACACGATTATCCAACTGCCGTGCTGTCCCTCTTTAGATTAGGGCTTCTGTAGAGCAGAAATCATGCCTCCCAGTCTCTCTCCCCCACAACTGAGTTCCTGCAGGGCAGGGGTCTCTCTACAACACCCGGCCTACAGCAGAGAATGATTAGTGCTGTGAGCTGAGGCTGAGCCCAAGCCCCAACTGTTGGTGGGCCTGAGGGGCACCCAGCCTCTCCTCAAGGCTCCATTCTGTGTGTCCTTCCCCAGCATCTCCTTGGAATTATTCCATCTTTGCCCTGGTGGGTGTGGTGATTGTGATAAGCATCGTCCTCCTGAGAAAGAGCATCCAGGCAAACAGGTGAGGAGCTGGCCTAGGGGTGGTCTCTGGGGAGGTGGGGAAATCTAGGGAGGGGTCACATAGGGGCTTGGCTAGCCACCCTTTGGGAAAGCAAAATGCAGCCTTTGGGGTCCTTTGACAACACAAAGCTGTTGAAAAACTACCCCCTGTCCCTGGCCAGCAAGCAGAGGTCAGGATCTCTGGTTCTGGAGTCACATAGGTCTGGGTTCAAATCCCAGCTCTGCCACTCTCACAAGTGAGTAAGAGATTCTGATACAAAGGGTCTGGGGTGGTCATTGGCATTTTGCTAAATTCCCTGGATGATAAACTTCCAGGGCTGACTTTTGAGAGCTCCTTGAGGACACAGACCACATCTGACTCAATTTTGTTTCCCCAAGAGACTGGCAGTGTTGGGTTCTAGAAATGATTCAATAAATGCTTGGTTCACACATCTTCCTCCCTCCCTCCCTTCCATTTTTCTTTCAACAATTACTATATACCCACCAGTCATCACTATCAGTAACTTTCAAACAAAAATAATGAGAACCCTTCCCTCATATCTGTACCATGTTTTACAATTTGAAAAGTATCTTCACATTCTCTCATTTGACCCTCAAGACACCTCTGTAAGGTAGGGCAGGCACAAGTTATTTATTTCCATTGTACAGAATAAGGTAATTGAGGATCTAAGGAAGTGTTGGCCTAGCTTCTGTGCTCTTCCTTCTATGCTTTTATATTATGCATGAATTTTCTTCATAGTTCTGCTATAAAGTAAAAAACAAAAAACAAACCCAGTGCCCTTTGTTCACACTGAGAACTAGTACTTATGAATTGCTGTGGCCTCATTCACTACTCATTCTGCAGGTAAGAGCTGAGCACCTGCTCAGTGCCAAGCTCTGTTCTGAGAGTGGGAGCCACAGTCACGGGCAAGAGGGATTCAGCCCCTGCCTTATAGAATTTACAGTTTGGTAGAGGGACAAGTGTAGTTCAGAGTGACAGGTGCTCAGTATGGGACATACAGAGTACAGTGGGAGCACAGTAGTGGGATCTGGGGCCTTCGGGGCAAAGAGATAGGGGGGGGGGGGGGGGCAAGGAAGCTTTCCAGACTGAGGGACAGCAGATATCAAGCTTGACATGCTGGAGGAGGAGGGCCCAGCCATGTGGCTGTGGCATGTGAAGTGGGATGGGGATAGAGGGAGGACAAGAAGGGGGCAGGACCCAGAATGTATGGGTCCTGGGGGCCATGCCAAGGTATTCAGGTTCTAGCTCATGGGCACTGGGGAGCCAGGGAATAGCTTTGAACAGGGACATGAAAGTCTTATGTTTTAGCAAGGTTAGTCTGGATGCAGGACATAAGAGGAACCAAAGGGATATAGCTTCTAAAAAGGTGACCTTGCCTTTCTTACCCTGTCAGGAGGCATTGCCCTCAACAAGGTCAACTCGGGAGCAAAGTGGCCGTCCATGGGAAAGGCAGACAATGAGCTACTCCTCCTGGGGCCCAAGCAGATTCTCTGGGCAGTCAGCTCTTACCACAGCTCGGTCCCTCTACTCTGGCCAGGAAGTCTAGGGGTACCTTGAGTAAAACCACCTTCGGGGAGATGACATTTAGGGGAGTTACTGGAAGGAAGGCTGGGTCTTGAATGCCAGGTTAAGGACATGGGCAGTCGGGAGCCACTAAAGATGCTTGAGTTAAGGCGTGATGTGTGCACACTGCGGTTTTAGAAACATGACTGGTGCATGGGGGCTGGTTTGGAAAAGCAAGGACCTAGAAGCAGGAAGATTACTTAGGAATTTCCCTAAAGTAGTTTGTCTGAGGATGGGGTGGGATGAGGGTGGAGATGGGGTGTGGGGTAACAAGGACCTGCACTAAGTAGAATGAAGTCCTGGGATAGAGAATGTGTGGGTTGGCGAAAAGAACACGGAACCCAGAGTCAGGAGACTTAAATGCATGTCTAAGGTATGTGCCTTTTTGACCTTTTTGAGCCACATGTCACCTTGAAGGGGATCCTGTAGCAATAATAGTTGAGCTCATGGTGGCAATGAGGATCTGGGGAGACGTTGCACTGGTGAGTATAAACTGTTTCTCTGCCAAAAGAACATCACACTATCTTGGCTTTCTCCCCCAGCAGTTCCCAGAACTGCCCACTGGATTTTCCACCTCGCTAGTCCACTTGCGAGACCTAGTCTTGCCCCAGCCCCTCAGTCCCCCAGCTCAGGGAACCCCCGATTCAACAGCGTGTTCTCTCCTCCCAGAAATCAAAAGACACTGAGGAAAAACAAACCGGAAACAACAACTCTGGAAGTCCAAGACTTGGCTGAGGCCGGAGCCAGAGAGGACAACAACCTGAACATGCTAAGAGAGACTTTGCTCTCAGAAAAGCAAAATTTGGCCCAGGTGGAAACTGAGTTAAAAGGGAGAAAGGTGCCATTGGTTCTCCTTCCAGACCCACAAGAATCTGAGAGCTAAGACGGGTCCAGAGCACTGCCCCATGTTGTCAGCAGATTCAGTGAATGAACTGCAATCAAAATATTGTTATGAAAAAAAACCCTCCCTTTTTATTAAAATGCATCTGAAGTGGGCATTTGGAAATGCAGTTGGTTCCAACGGGGGCGGTTCAACACAAGGGGCTTGGAGCAAAATCACAAAATCCATAGCCGGCCTGTGGGTCAGGAAGCCAGGCTACGACTTCTAGTGTGGTTTTGAGGAGTTCATAGCCTCTCTCTGACCTCAACCTCTCCATCTACATAATGGGGCTGAAGGCTGGATTAGAGCTGTTATTCTTTCTTTTTTTATATATGTAAATTTTTTTTTTTTTCTGAGAGAGAGAGAGAGAGAGCGAGCAAGAGCACGAGCACAAGCAGGGAAGGGACAGGGAGAGAAGAGACACAGAATCTGAAGCTGGCTTCAGGCTCTAAGCTGTCAGCACAGAGCCTGGCACGAGGCTCAAACTCACAAACCGCGAGATCATAACCTGGGCTGAAGGCCGACGCTTAACTGACTGAACCACCCAGGTACCTCTAGAGCCGTTGTTCTTAATCCAAGCTCCTGGAATTGCCAAGAGCAGGATTCTGGGCTCAGAATCCCCTTGCCACCCCTTCCTCCTACCAGAACCATTTCCTTTACCTGCTTATCTGCTGAGGGTCTACGAGAGATTTCCTTTGGGCTAGGGGCCCTGAGGTAAACAGAGTTAGAAAACTATAGAGCTCCCTGTGCTAACAATGAAATCCCAAGAGTGCCGTCCTGATCCCACATCTGAGCCACAGTGTTATGGTATAAGCTATGGTGGCCAAAAATGCTTTAGGTTCTATCTTTCAAAAGTGGACTTTGAACATTCAGACCCATTGCCAAAGGTACTGGGTCTTGCTGGACCAGACTACAAACTGCTCTACTGTGTTTCTGCCTACGAGCCTGGGACAGGCTAACGGTGCCCACCGGATGTCTGATACTGCCAGTTACAGGCTCTCTGGATCCTGTGTGATGGTCACTAGAGAGAATGACTTTTTTCTGCAGCTTCGATCATTAAGCTTCAGGAAGCTGGTCCTGAGGGTCCGTGGAGAGAATCCTTAATTAAAGATGGAAAAACAAGGCGGGTCTGCTTCCTGGTGACTAAAACACTGGATACTCACTACCCTAGGCAACCTAGAGCCCCGAACCTTCTATCCTCATTGAGAGGCAAAGTACCAGAAACAGCCCTTCCTGGGAATTTTGCTTCTCACAGGCTGTCCCATAGGATTATTTAAACTAGATTTTACTTGGATAAACTGTGGGGTTGGTTTGGTGCTTGGGGCTTCTGTGAAATCAGAAGACAACAGGAGGGCCAGGCTCAGGCCACCCAAAACCTGTAGCCGCTCTGCCCTTTCCGTCCACTAGGTGGTGCCAGGACTTCAAGTCTGCTCCTGTAGAACGTTCTCTGGCCTCCTTGTACGCAGGGCCTACTGGTGGTGACCATCCATCCAGAGCTGTCCACTAGGGGCCACATCTGGCCTGGCTGTTGCTGGAGCAGGAAGGGGTGATGGCACCATGACGGACACTGCAATTTCCTTCCACTTCAGCCAGACCCAGGTCTCCGTGTTGTCTTGTGGCTACTTCCCTTCAGGGTGGGGGAACGGCAGTGGTTACCATGGAAACCAAGGCCTGGAGGGACTAAGAGCAGCATTCTGCCTGTCCCTCCAGCTCACACAGTAAACTGGGTGTCAGGGAAATTACTTGGTGCTGGAAGAGGGATCAACTGTCCGCCAGAGGGCGAGGGCTATTGTTCCATCAGAGGGAAAGCCAGTAGTGAGAAGTCAGCCCCTATCCTGCAGCCCTGCACAGCCCCTAAGTCTGGGATCCTTAGGGGTGCCCTCAGAAGATCTTGAAGCCCTTCAACAGGGTCAGGGTAGGTGCCTTGCGCTTGCTCTGGGCCCGGGATGCCTTCACAGTGACCAGCTTGGCCTGGGCCACGGCAGGTATCTCCTTCAGACTGACAGTGGAAAGTGTGTTGAAGGTACAGCTGGCCAGCCCATGCCGGGCAGTGAGCGGAGCCTGGTGTGGCAGGGCCCTCTCCTCGGAGATGAAGAGGGGCCGGGGCAGGGAATTCTTCTCCAGTTCCCGCCGTGCCTCCCGCACGGCCTCGTGGAAGACATGTTGCACATGCTCAAAGTCTAGGCAGGCAGAGACCTCGAAAAACAGGCACCCAAACTTGCCAGCCAAGGCTGCACCCTCTGCCTTGGTGACCTGCCTGGTGGGGAAGCAGGGCAAGGCAGGGTCAGGAGCACGCATCCAAGTGGGGCAGGCTTGGGCCTGCACTCGGCTCCCCACTCACCAGCTTGGTGAGCTGGAGTCATCTCATCTGTACAACAGGATAGTGACCTCTACCTCTCAGGGTTGTTAAAAGAATTAAGAAAAACCACTTGTATTGTGTGCCTAGTGTAGTACCTGGCACAGAGTCAGTGCTCAATGAATGATGGCTGACCTCACCAAAGCCAGAATTTAGAAACAAAGCTGTAGGCAAGGGAGAAGCTTACTGGTTAGACCCTGTTTGTGCACCGAGGAAGATGGTCATTCCCAGCCCTGCATCTATGCCAGCATGGGTCCTTGGTCAGGAAATGAGCCACCCTCAGCCCAGGTCTGTGGGACTGACTCTAGAGAAAGGCAGTGGTTTGGACTGAAGGGTGTGACCCACAGAGGCAGGGTGGGTGAGGTGACTCAGGATGCCTGTGGTCAGCAGAGCTCTCAGGGCCCATGGGGAGTTTTGCCTGCCTGTCCAGGGGAGGGGCAAGAGAGAGCAAGGGTGGCATTTCATTACAAGGAGGGAGAAAAGGAGAGAGGGAACAGCACCCATTGTCAGCTTCGTCCTATACTCCTCTTTTGTGATGGTGGGATCGAATACTTACTGGGGAGGTCCTGGAAGTTTTGGACCTGAAAGCCATGGGACTAAAGGTGTGAGGAAAACAATTGGCTCTTGTGTAGGTCAGATGTCCAGAAGAAGGAAGGGGTAGGGGGTACCTGAGGTCTTGAGGCCAAGGTTCCATTGGCTGGATCTTGGTGATCACCCTGCACTGCTGATCACCCCATCCGCCATTCCCAAGGACAGTGGCAGAGCCCATGAGACAGGTGGGTATTGGTGGGAAGAGGTTCCTGAGGGGGAGGGGGACTGGGAGAGGGCTAGTTGCCCAGGGGAGTATCAGACAGAGAGTAACTGGGACAAAAAGGGCCAGAGGCAGAGCATCTAGACTCCCCACCCATGGCTGATGTCCTGTCTGGAAGCTCACTGCTTCCTAAGAAACCTTTTTGAAGGAATACTTGGTATTATTTGCTTTTATGATGGGCTTGAATCTACAGATTTGTCACTCTGGAGGCTTGAAACGTGAATTTTTAGAATATGCAGCACCCCGAACATGTATACATGTTTTTGTGAATGGGTGACACAGGTATGTAATATTATCCTCTTATTTTGTTGCAACCTGGTGACAATTTTATCAGTGGTTCAGGAACTACTGCTCTAACCTATGTTTTACCTTCTAGCTGCAAGACAATTATGGGAGACACACCAATGCTCAGCTAGGAGTTTTACTGCTCATCAAATCCTGACCCACTAACCTCAGGACTTGATCAAAGAAGGAAATGAAGATAACTGTCATGACTTTTCTTAGGGAATTGAAACTGCTTGAGTCCCATAATCTTTGTTATTTGCTACCAAACCATTTTTAGACAATCCCTTTGGCAAAGATCAGGATCAAAACAGTTGTCTAAATTTTTTCCTCATACTGAAGACAACTTACCACAATTCAGTCTTCTGACCCCTCTGGCAGGCACTGTGAGCTCTATAATTCCTCAAAGATCACCTTTTGGTTTTAAGATCACACAACTTCCTTCATTTCCTGAGATGAAATTTGTCTTGGTCTGAGGGCTGAATGGCCAGTAAAGGCTCCTACCATGGCCCCTCTTCATGAGACTGCACCCCCTGTCCCGCTGCCCATCTGATTTGTTCTGCACCTAAGTCCCCTCCCTGCTAATACCAGAATGGGCCTTTGAGGCTTGGGGAAGCAGGGTACTAGCCATGCACAGGGAGGGACAGGTGGAAAATGGGTGGAAGGTGCCATACTTCAAAGGTGGGCTGGCCACATAGGACAAATGTCAGTGGTGAAGAAGGCCAGTGGGGTCACTCATCAAGTGTAAGCATCATGCTTTCAGGGGCCAGGCAAGCAGCTCAAATGTATAGGGAGGGTAGAGGTAAGCCATGGGGAGTGGTAAGGCCTGTGGTCAGCTGGAGAGAGCATGCCCCTCCTCAAAGCATTCCAATTCTAGGTCTTTTAAAACTCTGTGCTCGCCAAGCAAAACGCTGCTGTATTTGCTGGTAATCTGTCCTCTGGCCCAGTCTGTGACCTCTGATTCAAGTCCAACTGAGTCTAAGAGAACCTGCCCTCAGCACAGCCAACTTTGGGAGTGAGCCTGGGGCCATGCTTGGGTGAGGCTAGAGCTGGTTGGACCAGAGCAGAAACCTGATTACAGGAGCCAATCACAGCCTTTCTTCTCAGACCTGGAATTGGGCACTGAATAATCAACAAGCTATGGAGAGTGAGGATGGAATGTCCTAGAGACAGGCAAGAAGGGTGAGGCCGAGAAAGACCACAAAGCCCCATGAGGATGGAAGGGGTGGCATCTCTTCTAACTTTCAGGGTCCAACCCCTGTGTGGGCCAGAAGCTCCTCCCTTCCTGCCCTTGCCTGTCTGGAAGACCACTTACCTTTAACCTAAATTTGAGGGGATTATTCAAATTTAGCCAAACAATCCCCAATGATGACACCCAGCCTTTACAAATGAGGAAAGTGAACTCCAGAGAGGAGGACAAACTGTCTGTGCTCACCTGTACTGGGCCATGTCCAGCTTGTTGCCCAGCAAGAGGGCAGGGGAGCTGCGCTGTGTCTCCTTGGCGTGCAAAGCAAGCAGCTCCAGGTAGCTGCTGCTGTCCTCAAAACTCTGGCGGCTGTCCATGCTGTATACCACCAGGAAGGCGTGGGCCCAGTTCAGGTAGCGCTCACAGTTCCTGGGGGTATCCTGGGGTGAAGGAGGGAAGCCTCGGTGGGGGCAAAGGCCTTTACCTGGGCTGCCCACCCACCTCCCCACTCTCTGGGTCTTTGTATATTGTTCCCAACAGAGCCCTTTTTAAAGGGGCACTTGAGTGTGGATTTGGCTTGGTGTGAAAGGAGACATTGTCTCGTAAGCCTCACTCCCACCACCCAGTCAGAGACTTGGAGACCTTGGCCTCTGAGGCACAGAGCCAAGACTCTGGCATGGCTGCTACAGAGACCTGGCTATCCCTGGGCACTGCTGGTTTTGCGTCAGGTTGATGGTGTCCCTTGGCTTTTGAGAATAACTGGTATCCAGTCCTGGCAGGGGATGGTGAGAACATAGGGAAAATGTGTGTACTGAGGGGACCTGGGCCGAAGAGGGTCTCTGTGTAAACACTTGTAAGCACCTGTCTCCATGTGTATGTGAGCATCAAGTCCCAGAAGAGAGGATCTCTGAGTTGATGCCAGCAACCATCAGGTCTCCCCAGGCCCCATCCCATCCCTTCTCACTTGGCAAACGAAGAGATTCCGGAATGGAGAGGTCAGCACCTCATTCAGGGTCACACAGCAAACTAGAGCTTAAAAAGTTTACATATTCCCATCTGAGGCATCCACTCTGGGACCAGGACTTCCCAGGAGGCCGCATGGACTCTCAGCTCTCCAGGGGTAATGGGGGTACTGTTACCGGGTCTGCAGTATCCATAACCCTCAGGTGGACAGGCTGGTGGTCCACTGTCTCTTCGGAGCTGTAGGTGTCCTCTGTAACAGATGGTCAGGCAGGTCAGAGGCAGTGCAGGCTGCTCAGTGGGTGATTGTGTCTGAGTCCCCACCTCTCTGTGCTAGACCCTGGGGGATCTATTCCGGAGCTGGCTGAGCTGGGACAACTGGGGAGGCCTTGGCTGGCACCCAAACGGAGAACACAGAACCTCCCACCGAGGAGAGGCTGCTCTACCTGTCAGGGGTCAGAGCATAAGAGGTCACTCACAGAACATGCCATAGGAGTTGGGATTGTGTTCTGGGTCTGGCCACCAAGCCTACAGGATCAAGTGTGTGGCCCATGGTCTTGTTTAGCAGCAGAGACCTCTGGAGCTACACTGCCAGCCTATCCCCTCCAAACCCCAAACTCCTGCACTCTCTTCCCTCTGACCACAATACCTGGCCCCCAGGAACCCCCCAAGGACAATCCTCCTGCACTCAGTGGTACAAGAGATGGGAAAAGAAAAGCACACAACGTGTGTCTGTGTGTGTGTGTGTGTGTGTGTGTGTGTGTGTGTGTGTGTCCAGAAGTCCCAAGAAGGTTTTACAAATATTCCTCATCAAAATAATAGCAGAGGACTCTAGCATAGTCAAACGTTTTAGGTTGGAAATGTGGAATCAAACCCAACTTCAACTACCTTTTAGCTATGTGACTTGGCCAAGTCTTTGAAGCAGTTCTTTGAGGCTCTGTTTCCTCACTTTAAAATGGGGATAACATGATAACATTGGCTAAACATTTTTCAGATTTTACTCTGTGCCAGGCATTGTGCTAAATGCTTGTTCCTGCATTTCACAGGGCTGTGTGAGGACTGGATGGGCCCCCAGGCATGGGGCCTGGCCCATCATACATGTCTGGTAAAGGACAGGGGACTGTGGTGCTCCAAAGCTGACAGGGCAGGTTCACATTCCTAGCTGATATTTTTTTTTCTTTTTCTTTTGAAATAATTTTAGACTTGTGTGGAAATTGCAAAATAGTACAGAGAGTTCCTGTGTGCCCTTCCCTCTGCTCCCCACAAGGTTAACACCTTACATAACCGTAGTAAAATGATCAAAACCAGGAAATTGATATTGGTACCATACTATGAACTAAACTACTGACTTTATTTGGATTTCATGAATTTTAACTTTTTTTTCTTTCTTTTTTTTTTTTTTTTTTTTTGCATCTCACACCCTCAAACCTGATAAAGCAGCAGATGGCCTGGCATGCAAAGAGGACCTCATTGTCATACTGACATTCTTTCTATCTCCAACCTTCCCCTGTGCCACTGGCCCATGTGTATGAGTCCACTTGGCCATCGTGTTTCCCTGGGTGCCCCAAGTGACCCCAAGAAGAACCCCTGGGCAGAACTGGGGCCCTCTCTGCTTTCCTCCACCTCCCCAACCCTGGCTGAATTCACCACCACTTTTCTCTGAGGGCCACTGGCAGTTGAGCCAGGCCTGGACACATGCCAGGTCCACTAGCAGCCAGCAGGAATCACAGACAGCTCCCATCCCCAGCCTGTTTGGGGACTTGGATAAATAGCTACTCTTATTCAAAGACAAAAAAAAAAAAAAAAAAAAAAAAAAAAAAAAAAAAATCTAATGGAAAATATGCCCCAAATGTTTAACTATATTTAGTGCAAGAAGAGCTGCCCCTAGATGCCTACATCTTGTTCAGATTTTTCTTTATTTTCCTGCCAAAGTTGTCTGATGCACCCCTTTTAGTTGTGCCACACCCCCCCTCCCCAAACAGTCACTGAGTCCTGCCCAGTCTAGGGGAAAATCTTAGCCTAGTGTTGGTCTCCTGTGGTTCCTCACAGCATAAAAGCCTTTCAAAGTTACTGTTAGCACCACTAGAGAGAGATGAAGCCCAGAGGAGGAGGGACCTTGTCCACTGCCACACAGCACTCCATCAGTAGAAGGAATGTGAACTCAGGCCTTCTAGACTGGGCTGCCTCCCCATCTAGGCATGGGGCCGCCCATCACCCTCTGCTCAGGGGACCAGCTGATCGTCCAACTCTGGGCAGAGCACAGGGGAAGAGCAGAAGCTCCCAGGCCAGCTGAGGAGGAACATGTATGGGTGAGCTTGGAGAAGCCTCAGATGCCATCTTATCTGGCTTCCTCCCCCATGGCAGGTGAGGTAGGGGGTCCTTTCCAAGTCACAGTATTGTCCTATCTTCCCATCACCAAGTCCTGCTCTCCAGAGCATTCTGGGGTCCTTAATCACATGGGTTTCATAATTCCTAGTTCTAAATAACATTCTGGGGACTTTCATGCTGAGAGAAGCTTCTTTTCCCAAACTATTTTCCCCTCATTTACAGTAATAGTCTTTTATTTTTTTTATTTTTGTTTTTTAATTTTTTTTAACGTTTATTTTTGAGACAGAGAGAGACAGAGCATGAACGGGGGAGGGTCAGAGAGAGAGGGAGACACAGAATCTGAAACAGGCTCTGGGCTCTGT